TGCCATATAAGCGGAGGGTGAGTAAACTTACCTGTGAATACTCCGAGTTAACCTTACAGACTCTGTGATGCTGCTGTGGGTCTTGTTGCTAACGCTAGGTTGTGTGTGTAACTACGGTGGACTCGCAACAACGGTGCTAGCTGTCGGCTAATTCAGCTATGCGCATGCGCCGCATACTTTATACGAATCACACACGCCTCACTCTTCTGCTTTTAGGTTTACGATGCTGCAACCAACCAAAACACTTTGTTGTCCAGCAGGTATCGGTTTTCATGGACTTTACAAGTTAATATTCCCCACTGACTCTATAAAAGTCACGTTTTCTGCAGTCACTCACCCAGTAATACTTCCATGATGGCTTTTAAGAACTTTGTCGAAACAAACAAACAAAATCACATTTATAATTTATTTCAAAACGTATACAGGTTTCTGGTTTAGTGTGAGCCCATTCATCCTAATGTCTCAGTCTCTTTGGTGGGCTTGGTGAAGGCATTCATTATTCAACTAGTGGTTTTCTTTTTGTTACTTTTCCATTAAACACAACACAAACAACATGTCAGTGTGTATATTTTGCACCAAATTTCGATTCCGGGTTCAAATCAGTCATTAAAATTCAGCTAAAGAAGAACATTTCTTTCAATCCCAAAAAGGTTACGTTAGGAGCGTAAAATTTATTCTCTTTTTACAACTGTTTGCATCGCTGACTGTTTTTAGCTTTCGAACAGCTTTTTGAAGGCTGAGCTGATCTCCTGGATCATGTCTGACGTGGTGGTGGACCTGCCGTGCCGCTGGAATGCTTGACTGTTGCACTGCCTGGTGAGCGAACAAGCACCAAATGCAGCAACTACTGAGGGATTCATACTATAGGGGAGCAAAGGGAAAGAAGAAGGGGGGAAAAAAAGAGAATATACATCCAAATAAAGTGAACACGTACATTTCTCTGTGCAACATCACACTTTATGCATTCATTACATAGGAAAAGCCAAAAAATCATCGTGAGAAGTGGTCAGAACATTTGGTGATAATTTTTATACACTCTCAGCATGTAAATCAGTGCACTCTGTAGGTAATGTGTGTAAATATATTTTTTTAAAAAAAACTATTTTTTATCCATTGAGCCCTGAAAAGCTTGGCCTATACATTCATTCAAACATAGCACAAAAAGCAAAAATCATGCCTTCACCTTCTGATCATTCCTGCTGTGGAAGCAGCATGGGCCCAGTGTGCCAGCACTCCCATAGATCCAGAAAGGAGATCCCCCTGTCCACCGCATCGTCTCCCGCTGCCTTCTAAATTGCATGAGTACACTACAAACAGCAGCACACGACACAGCGTCACAAAAGGAGCTCCGAAGCATCTGAGAATAAACAGAGTGAACGATCAGCCGGAAGAAACTAAAGCACGTTCTGTTTGATGCCAACCTTTGCTGCCATCTGTGATGAAATCCTGCTCCCCCTTCAGCACCAAGGTGAGGTTGCCCATAGCTACACTGAGCTGCATGACGCTCCGCTGATAATCACTGCTGTCCATGGGCTCATGGTGCTAATGCACACAGACAAGGTAAAAAGACACACATCAGCATAGAGGATCACATGTTATTTGCTGTCAACTAGTGAGTGGGACTGAATTGTGCCAAGAAACTTACCAATGCCTCATACAATCGAGTGAATTCCATGAAGTTAGGCGTAAGGATGCCCTTCTGGTACCCTTGGATAACAGATGGTTGCTGTGTAACCAGCCATAATCCATCCTGTTAAGAATGATCACACACACTATGTATGACTTAGCAAATGAAACACCTTCTGCTCCACAGCTGGGACTTTATTTTATCAAGACTTACTGCATCAATGACTATGGGGATATCTCTTGCTTTCGACTTCTCAATGACCTCCTGAAATAGAGAGAGAGAGAGAGCACAGGGTCTGTCTTTAATAAGCCTTCCGTTGGGGTGGGGGGAAAAAAAGAAGAAGTAATTTATCAGCCACCAGTAACACTTGTGCTATAACAAGTGCTAGCAATAA